AGGCTAGTTGCTATTGTTTTGAGTTTTTGAATAATCAAACGAAAAATCGGTAATTTGCTTGGTCCCAGAAACCCTACAAAGTGAACGTTTACTGTGAACCATTCTAAAAATCATTCAAAACAAATGTATTGTGTCACCTCGAGAAGCAACAGCAAGTCTATTTTTCTGAAAAAGAAGAAGAAACAATCACTGGTTTCAAAGAAACAAAAACTTGGCATTGTTCCAATATTGGAACTCATTTTTGTTAAAGACTGAAGAATGGATTGGCAGCTGGCAATCTGTATTAAGGTGTATGACATAGTATATGCTACTGTATACAAAATAGAAAAGGGTATTTTTTTAGCATCTTCTCAGTTTCTTTATTCACTAGTTCGAGATAAAACAGATCGAAAAATTGATTGAGAATTAAAAAATTATTTAAAAATTTCGAGGACAATGAAAACAATTTTCATTTGAGAACTTCTTCTATCAAGGTTTCCCATTAAATTCAAATAGTTAAATTAAATTTCATTTTTCTAAGCTTCAAAAACAATATGATTGTCTAATTGTGATATTTTTGACGAATTTTTTAATCTGAAATTTAGTGAAGAGTCGCTTCTTTTAATAGTTTCTTCTCATTGCTTGATGTGAATTATAATAAAGTTTAACTTAACCCAAACTATCAAGTCTGCTAGGTTGATATCAATTGAATAAAAAATTCATTGCAAAAAGCTTGATTCTAATTGTTTGATTGCAAATTGGGTAATAACTCATTTTTAAATCAAGCTCGAGTTTGATTGGCTCTTATCATAAATGTTGAAGTTTCTGAAAGTAATAGAAAAGTCGACTCTGGTCGCGGTTTGTTTTCATTTTAGTTACACCAAGAAAGTTCATTTGATATCATTCTGGTTTGATTGACGGAAAAATCGGTCAAAGCAATTGTATACCTACTTTCATTCATTTGCTTTGATATATTTAAATGAGAAATAATCTCCCACCTAAAAAATTGGGTTTTCATGTGTCTCCCATTTCTTAAACAATAGCAAGCCTTTTTAAAATTTACCTCTGTTTCATTTTTTAAATAAAATTGCTGTCATTGATTAGAGACGAAAGAGTTGCATGTCTTCAGTGTGATAGAGACTATAAACGTAAAGAGACGTCAAGGCGATACAAGCACTGTGGCGTTTTCGATTGTGTCCAAAATACATTTTTGATGCATATAGCAAATGAATTTTCGTATCAAAAAGAAGCACGCCATCGCTATTCATTATTCTGCTCAAAGTTATCTTCAAAAAATCAAGGTAGGCAAAATTGACAAAAGTTATTTGAAACTGAGTGGTCAATCATTAAGTAATAAACCAATGGAAAAGTATCCAAAGCAAAAACTCGAGATACAGAAAATCAGTTTGACTACTTTTTCAATGTTCTCCATTTGTTAGTAAATCTTTCATCGATTTTTCACATTTATTAGAATTGTTGTTGTACATGCTACTATATACCAAATAGTAAAAGGTATTTTTTAGTATCTTCTCAGTTTTTTTTCACTAGTTTGAAATAAAGCGAACCGAAAAAATGATTGAAAAATAAGAAATTATTAATGAATATCAAAGATGTAGAAAACAATTGTCATTTGTGAACCTCATTTATCAAGATTACCCAGTAAATTCAAATAGTTAAATTAAATTTTAGTTTTTGAAAGCTTCAAAAAGCAATGTGCTTGACTGATGTTGAAATTTTACACGAATTTTTTCAACCTGAAAATTTTTGAAGAGTCATATCTTCATTAGTTTTTTTCTGATTGTATGCTGTGAATTGCAAAAAAATTGCCTTAGTCCAAACTATTAAGTCTGCTTAGTTGATATCATTTAAATATGAAATTCCTGACAAAAAAGCTTGATTCTAACTGTTTGATTTCAAAATAGGCAATAACTCATTTTTTAAATAAAGCTCGATTTTGATTGGTTGATAACATAAGTAAATACCAACAATTGTATAACTACCTTCATTCATTTTTTTTGTACATTTAGAAAAGAAATAACCTCCCATCTAAGAAGTTGGGTTTTCATGGGTCTCCCATTAAAGTTTACCTCTGCTTCATTTTCTTGAAAGTGCTGTCACTGAGTAGAGACAAAAGAGTTGCATGTCTTCAGTGTGATAGAGACTAAACACGTAAAGAGGCGTCAAAGCCTTATAAGCGGTGTGGCGTTTTTGAGTGGCCAAAATACATTTTTGATGCATATAGCAAGTGAATTTCCATATCAAAAAGAAGCACGTCATCTCTATTTGTTCTTCTGCTCGAAGTTATCTTCAAAAAATTATGGTAGTTAAGGTGCAATGAGCAATTTCTATAAAAGACAAACACGCATCGCCATATGGTAATTTTTTCGAACAACCTCCATAGAGTTATTGGCGTATTCTAGTATTTGTGAAAGTTTTCCAGAAAATCAGACTGTGTGAAACAACTAAGGTTTCCAAAAATCATCGAACTTTGTCTAAAATAAAAAACAAGCGAACTTTTTGTAATAACCTAAATTAAAAAGCGTTTTAATAAAATGGTTGCATTCAAACTTCTGATTAATTTCCACTGTTTATCAACGAATTTAAAATTTTTCCTTTCAAATGGACATAAAAAAGAATACTCTGATTTTTCAAAAAATTTTGAGTTTTTAAGATGAAACATGCACGTTTTTGGTCTGAAAATTGAACTTTAAAACAAAAACATATCTTAATCTGGTCCATAAAAAATTGTTTTCAAGAATTTTTTAGCAAAAAATTTGTTAGTGCTAACTTTGTTTTGTAGTAGAAAGCGATTTAGAAAAAAAGGTTAATTTATACAGTTTTTTTCGACTAATTAACCTTCAATTTTGCATTTCAAGCTCACAGATGTTTTTGGAAGATGTATGAAAATGAAATCAACAAGTTGTTTTATCTGCATAAAACTCCTTATTTTTGAAAAACGAAAAACATAAAAGTCCCTTGTAGAAAAAAACTAGAGTTTGACAATGTTCTAGACAATTTTCAATAAACTGTGTAAATGTGAAATTTCTCGGCCTTAATTATGGATATTATAAATGACTTGAAAGGAATCAATTGGATACATAGCTCTGGTTAGCTTGTTTGATTTTTTTGTCTTGGTTAGCTTCATTTTTTAACTTAGAAATATGGGCAGTCTTTAAGAATTTTTTGCTGATAAAAAATGATTCAGATTCATAAAAAATATTCAGTTGACATAATTGTATCCCAATTGTATTTCTTAGTTAAAATTAGGTATAACGCAAACTTTGATAAGGATTTAGGTAAACATTGTTTAGGGACTGTGTTTCACTACATACTTTCATTTATATTTCAGTGAAGAAACTCCCAAGAAAGTCATGCTGTAGGAAAATTTTAGCTGCTTAAATAGTCATCAGTTATCTAACTCCTGTTTTTTTCCCGAAGCCTTACAAAATAAAACATTTTTTATTAAATTTTTACCAATTACAAATACTCTTATATTCTTTTTCGATTATTTCAAATAGCTTCAACTCTCTTTCTTCTAAACTTTTTTGAGAAATTTCTGAGATAAATTTTCTAGAGAAAATTCTGAGAACGATATAAGGCGACTTTAAGACTGTTATTGCAAAAAAATGATAACTAATGGTCACAAAAATTGTAGTCTTGAAGCAAACAATCAGAATAAGCTGCTTTGAAATAGCTAATATTATCCATTAACCTGAAATTACACATAGCGCAAATTTTTTTTAGCACTTTGCAGTGCTTATTTTACCTTGCTTATTAATTCTATTTTCAATAGAATTAGTCACATCGCTTCAGTTTTGTCCTTCTTGTATAAGTTTGTGTTAATTTTCGACAAAAATCTGAAGAAAAATTGATTCATGACCGTTGCTCTGAAAAATTCAATGTGTATGTCTATTGAGCATTTGAATGGTTGTTGTTAACTAGTGTTACATGAACCTGGACAGAAAACTAGCTAATATTACTTAAAGTGGAAAAGTTTGGACATTTACTAAATCAATATGACTTATACTTCATGGTTTTAGCTGAATCTTCCGATGTTTCAGCATGTTTGCAGCAATTTTGAGCATTGCTTTTGATCTTCAGAACGCTACATAAAATATGTCTTAAATCAAAATATATCAAATTTTATCGAATTAAAAAATTTTGAGGAAAAATGCAGATAAAACCTATTGTTTTATGCAAAAAAATTACTTCCCCGCTTCCTTGACAGTGTGTGACGTTTCCCACTGCTTTTGAAGAACTCCGGAAGACATGCCCCGCGACAGCTTAACGGATCTCCAATTATTTTGAAGATAATTACAATGACGGCGGCAAATGTAACTTGTGAAAACCCAAGATTTGACATTGACAGTCAGAGTTGCGAGAGTTGTACAAAGTTAGATTTTTTTAACCGAGGTTTGAACTGCCGATCTGTTGATCTTGAAATCAATGATTTCAGCGGTCGGCTAATTGCGTTATGTAATTTAATTAGTTATTTCTCAAAATTCGGTCTTGCTTTGAAAGTTCTCTGGTTAACTGGTACATATAGAATGTAATTGTAGAACAACAAAATGGATGCAAAACATCAAAACATTAAAGATCACGAGGTCAAATCACAGAAAACAGTTTCGAATGATTTCGCCTGGGACACAAATGTCTGGTAAATTTTTATAGCTTCATAGCAGGACAGTTTTGCCACGGACGCAAATGTCTGGGACACAAATTCTATTCACCATAGATTTCCCCCCTACCCTACTCTACCTGATTTTTTATCATTAAGCCTCGTCTCACAAAGTACGACTGCTCGGACTAAACCAACTATAGAAATTGGCATGCGGACTCAGGCTTTTCAAAAGTGATGCTAAGTCGAGAAATAGGGCTGAAAAAACTATAAACTAAAAATTAAAAGCTAAGACGAAACCATTTTTTAACTTGGTGTTTAACTTTTATATATATCCTAGCCACAGTAAAAAAAAATTTGAGACTATTACAAACTATTATAAATTCAAATCAAAAACTCTCTTCTACTCTTCTGCAGGTTTATCTTCCTTATTTTCTTCTTCTTCTTCCTTTTTCTCAGCCTCGGGCTTTTTCTCTTCGTCTTCGGGCTTCGCTTCTTCGGCTTCTGGTTTCGGTTCTTCTTCACCTTCGGGTTTCGTTTCAGCTGGTTTCTCATCTTCGCCCACTTTCTTACTCTCTTCTTCAGGCGCTCCCGGTTCCGCTGGAGCGACTTCTTCGGCCTTTGTTCCCGACTTCATATCCGACCTCTTTCGTCTTACATGCTTTGTTCGAGTAACTGCTCGGTCACCCAGCTCAAATCGCTTCTCGCGGTGATTGGATTTGATTGGTTCGCCATCAGATCCTTTCATCTCTCGAAAGTGTTCGAACATGATGTTTGAAAACTCTCCTGGTTTTTCGAAAACAATGTAGGTGACGTTCTCAGTGCAAGGCGGATGACAAAGGGATCCCTGGTACTGGAAGTAGTCACTATCAGTGAAGCAAGCGATGATCACTCTCAGAAAGTCACTGTTCGGGATCTCGGTCGACGCCTGGAACTCTTTGATCTCACCGAGTTTCTCCTGGATCCCCATCATTGACGTCTTCCCTCCGTCGCTCCTCATTTTCATATTGAGGCACAGAATCACAACCGGATCCTCTCCTTCCGCCGGATCTCCTTGCAGTGTGAACTGATAATGGATCTCGCCATCGAAATTTGCCTTATCGTAGGAATGCTCACTTCCCTCACCCTCTTTTGCGCCCCAGTGAAAAGTGAAATGATCGAATTTGTACTCCCCTTTCAAAGCTCCCCCAGTCAGAATCGGACGGTCGGCCTCCTTATTGATTGACATGACAGCCGCTGTACCGGTGTTTTTAAGAGTCCAGATTGTTTTCTTGTGTTGATTCAGTTGCAATAGAGGTCTCCCGTCATCAGTTACTGACGCGGTTGATTTCGGGATGTCAATAGGTGACTGTCGTTTTGCGGTGTCACAATCCATGCCGCATTTGCCGGCCCATTCATCTTGTTTGGAGTATGAAAATTCAATCGGTTGAGTTTCTTCAGCCATAATTGATTCAAATTGACACTTTTAAATAGTTACTTAGTTACAACAGTTTAAATGACTTCTATAAACTACTGCGTTGTTGCCGCAAAATAGAAACTTGGCACGTGCGTTAAAATGCACCTGATTAAATGCACCTGATCACATTTTGATTAAGGCGCCTAAATTGTCAGAACTGAATAAATTTGGAAAAAAATCTTCAATTTTTTTACACTAACTTTGAGTACCAGTTTGAAGTTTTAAAAGACCTCGAGATAGAAACTCGACTCTTTTTCTTTTCTACCACCTTCAAAAAAAATTTTTGGGAAAACCTTTTTTTACCTCGTCCGATGGCTGTGAAAATAGGCATGCTGACCGATGAAGTTTTTCGAGTATTTCGAAACTTAGTTTGTCTTCACCTTGTAATCCCCCCCCCCCCCCCAATCTCGCATAACCCGAGTTGAGATTCTGTGTTTGGCTCTTTTTCCTTCCCCCCCCCCCCCCCCCCACCTCACACGACCATCAGTTTTATAGTGTAACGAGTGGTTTTACAAGGTTAATTATGAAGACCAAATATGTTTGGCACAGCCTAATTCGTCCGCATGTCAATTTTCATAACGATCGGACAATGTGAACAGTAACTTTACTACTGAAAAACTTCAGGTGGGGGGGGGGGGAAAGGAAAAAGAGCCCTGTGGTTTTATGATCAGACAGTCGCCGCGAAATTTTGGTGTTTTCAAACTGCCGCGACTGAAATGGGATAATTTGAGACTGCCGCTGCCAAAATTTGGTATTTCCAGACTTCGCGGACCGAGCCAATGTGTCCGCGACCGGCGCGACCATGAGAAAGTTAACCGCGACCGAAGAAAAAATTAACGACATTTGGGGGGGGCGATCTTTGTGGCGTAACGAGCAGTTTTTGAATGTTGATTATCAAGAAAAAGTATGTTGGCTCTTTTTCCCCTCCCCCACCTGCAATTTTTTATTGGTAAAGTTACTGTTCACAATGATCGATCTTTATGAAAATTGACATGCGGACTGATTAGGCTGTGCCAAACATATTTGGTCTTCATAATTAACCTCGTAAAACCACTTGTTACACCATAAAATTGATTGTCGTGTCAGGGGGGGGGGGGGGGGGTGAGGAAAAAGAGCCAATTGTTTTTCATAGCCTAAATAGCCCGCATGCCAAGTTGACTTCTTATCTGATAATGTGAACCACCTCATCAAGATCGCGACCTCAACCTCCCACGCATCCACGTCGCACTTTTCCATCTTCATAATACTTAAGAACAGGGGCAGGTTTAGTGAGAATGCATAATTTTATGGCTCAAAGCCTTGTTTTTTTTGTGTGAAACAAAAAATTTAGATTGGGTTTTTTTCACTATACTGAATTTAATTAATAAAAAAAATGAATTAGTTTTTTTTGTTTTTTTTTACTACTCCCCACCACCATTAATTTTCAGATTTTAGTGTAAAGAAATAAAGCATGGTGAACGAGCTAACTGTTGTGCACACATTTGTTCACATAGCTAACATCGTAACATCACGCATTCAGCCATAATAACACGCAATGCAACTGAGAAAACTGAAAGTTTGAAAAAGGGAAACACCGAAATAATTTTTCAATATTGATATTCATATGTGAGAAAATGAAAAAAAAACATTCAATGTAAACTGCCCGCAATTTTTACCAAATAAATCTGATGATAACTGAACGATTGTATAGAAACCTAACAATCATGGTTATTAACAAATTTTGAACACTTATAGTCTTCATGTTCAACCTCACGTTTTTCGACAAAAGATATAAATCTAAGCAGCATTCGATTTCTCTGTTTGAAAAAACGCCTCTCATACAAAATTCATATACAGAAAAATGCTTACGATATATTTTTCATTACCGGAAAAATGCTCATCACAGATTTTTCATACAAATTTTTGTTGTGTAGTGTGTGGAATTGAACAAAATTTGTACGATAAGAAATTTATCATTTATCAAAATTGTATGACAAGGATTTCTGTTCTGACTTGAATAACGAAAGTAAAGGAATATTTGTGCTTGGGGTTGTTTTTTTTTGTTCAGACAAAATTCGACTTTCTAACTAGCCATTTTTGACGGATTTTTTATATCAATCGAAAGCTATTGTTGTCTTGAGCTTAAATTTGAAAAGATATTTTACCTGTGATCAATTTTAATAAAGTTATGATGGTTTGAAGATTGCCATGATGGCCAAATTGGGACAATTAACGAGCGATATGTTACGCGCTATTAACGCGTAAGCGGAGATTTAATCCGTCTTAGAAATCGTTCCAAATTGGTTCAAGGAAGTTTATGTGCCCATAATTGATTTGTCAATAGGAGCAAAATTGATCATTTTGTTCTTGATATGGCGTGTGGGGGTGACTTTTTCACAAAAAATCTCAACTTTTTTTTAAAAGTTCAATTTTGTTTTATTGCATTTTAATTTTTTCATGTTAGTACTGCTCCATAGACCTTAAAAGACAGTCGGAACATTCAGGGCTTCGCCCTGATACGAGCAGTGTTGTTGG